TAAGTCGGTAAGCATAAGACAATTAGATTAACCCATATGGCCTTCCATTATAGGGAGAAATCAATTCCCAACGTAGGTTGAGTTGATCAAGTTCCTCAAGGCTAACCTATATTGCGATTTGAGATCTTACCTATGACATAGAGATATCACCGGTGACCTGAGGACGTAGTATACTTAGTCGAGTCCCTCGAGGGCATATCATCGAATCAAATTCATCTTGTACCGATGGTGATGACTTAATCGAATATCATGATTGGTCAAGTCCCTCAAGGCTATGATGCTTCGGAGGCTGAACAAGATTGGAATCATAAGAAGTTATGATCGGTAAGAGTTGCCTACCTTTTCAGGCTTCGTGTGATTGATCGAGTCCCTCGAGGTTACACTAAGATGTCAATTGGATTCCGATCCCCACTAGAGATCTATCGATGGTCTCCAATTCATATACCGGAAAGTGTTATGTGTTTCGCGAGAAAATAGTGAGAGTAAATTAAGATAGAAGTCCATATCTTGATTGTTTATTTTTTTGTAAAATTTGCATGTTATTTATTTCTACTACATCTTTTGTTTATCAAAAACATGTCGCTTTCAAATCCCTTATGTGTCATACTGGATGTCAACTGTCTCACTAGTCCAAACTATATGGATTGGCTCCATGACTTGAAAATCGTTCTCACAGTGAAGAAAATCGCATATGTCTTTGACATAGTGATGCCATGCCTAAAGAAGAGGCAAGTGAGAATGAGATCATTTGCTATGTAAAGTACATAAATGACTCCACACTCTCTCAATGCTAGTGAGACAAAAAACAAAAGGAAATCCCTTAAGAAGGGCAAGGGCAAGGGCAAACCAGACAAAGCAAAGGTTACCAAGGACTCGAGAAATGATAAATGTCAGTACTTCCACTACGGCAAACATGAGTACTGGAAGAGGAACTATAAAGAGTATCTTGTAGGTAAGGCAAAATAAAAGCTTGGAGAAGCTTCAAGTACATTTATGATCAGTCTCCAATTATCATATTCTTATGATAATACATGGGTATTATATACCAATAGTGTTTATCACATCTATAATTTGTTACAAGTTCTAGCCCTAGAAGATTGGTGAGAGGTAAGATGGATCTCAAAATGGGCAATGAAGCAAAAGTTACTATAGTGGCTATTAGCGAGGTCACCTTACATCTGCTTAATGAAGCTACTATTGCATTAGATGTATGTTATTTTATTCTTTCGATTATTAGAAATATTATTTCTATTTCATGTTTGATAGTTAATGAATATAAATTAGTTTTTAAGAATAATGGTTGTTCAATTATAATGGATAATAAGATCATCACTAGAGGAAAATTGTATAATAGTTTATTTATGCTAGATATTGCTTTATATATCTTGAATATAAGTATGTTTAAGAGGAGACGAGATGAGATGAATAGTGTGTACCTATGATATTATAGGCTATGTCACATATATGAAGGAAAAATCCAAAAGTTATTGAAGGATGAATACCTAGATTCATTCGACTATGAGTCATATGTGATTTGCGAGCCTTGCCGTCATAGAAAGTTGACTAACGCTTCATTTAGTGCAACTAAAGAGAGAGCCACTGAGTTGTTGGAACTCATACATAGTAATGTATGTGGTTCATGTCAACTCATATCATAGGAGGTTACTCCTACTTCATCACATTCACTTATAATTGCACAAGGTATAGATATACGTACTTAATGAGTACAAGTCTGAGGCCTTTGAAAAATTCAGGAAATATAAGAATGAGATAGAAAATCAGACTGGAAAGAATATCAAGACTCTTCAATCAGATCGAGAAGGTGAGTACTTGAGTATAGAGTTCTCCCAATTTTTCAAGGACCATAAGATTATATCTCAATGGATACCTCCTTATGCACCTCAACTCAATAGTGTATCGAAAATGAGAAATCGTACATTGTTAGACATTGTGTAGTCCATGATGAGTTTCGCTGACCTACCCATCTTATTCTATGGATATATCATAGAGTCCGTAACTTACCTTTTGAACAGAGTTCCTACTAAGTCGATAGTGTTTATACCATATGAGATATGGAAAGGAAAAAAATTTAATTTTATGGTTGTTAAGATTTGGGGCTATTCTACCCACATTAAGAGACATAACCCTAACAAGTTAGAATCCATGATGAAATAGATGATTTCTCAAGGTATGAGCATGTGTACTTAATAAAGCACAAGTCCGAGGCCTTTGGGAAATTCAGAGAGTATAAGAATGAAGTGGAATATCAAACTAGAAAGAGTATCAAGACTCTTCGATCAGATCGAGGAGATGAATACTTGAGTACAAAGTTCACTCAGTTCCTCAAGGACCATAAGATTTTATCCTAATGGACACCTCCTTATATACCTCAACTCAATAGTGTATATGAAAGGAGGAATCATACACTGTTAGACATGGTGCGGTCCATGATAAGTTTTGCTGACCTACCCATCTCATTCTAGGGATACGCCATAGAGACCACAACTTACCTTCTGAATATAATTCCAATTAAATCGTTAGTGTCTACACCATATGAGATATGAAAATGAAAAAATCCTGATTTTAAGGTTGTTAATATTTGGGGCTACCCTGCCGACGTTAAAAGACACAACTTCGATAAGTTAGAATCGAGGACGGAGCAGTGCAAGTTTATGGGATACCCCAAGGAAACTTGTGGGTATTATTTCTATCATTCCGAGGACCAAAAGGTCTTTATAGTTAAGAGAGTAGTATTTCTTGAGAATGAACATATTTTTAGCGGAGACAGTGGGAGCATGATAGAGTTAAGTGAGGTTGGAGAACCTAGCTCAAGCACCACTCCACAGCTTGAGCCTTTTTAGGTACCTAACACACAAGTTCCGACTTTACATTAGTCCAACAGAGTATCCTATACTCATGAGAGATATGTGGGACATATTGGAGGAGAGGATGTTGAGGATATTGATCCTCAAACCTACGAGGAGACTATTACATGTATAAACTCCGGGAAGTAGTAAAAAGCCATGAATTCTGAGATGGATTCCATGTACCCTAATAAGGTTTGGAACCTAGTTGATGCACTCGAGGGTGAGTGATCATCTGTAAAAGGAGCTAGAGCCTATCACAATTGGAAGCTATCAACAAAATAGTCTAGTAAATTATGTATTATGGTACCTCATAATATTTTATCATATTACTTTTTTGATATATATATATATATATATATGTATATATATATATATATGTATACATATATATAT